TCTGATGTGATTTTTTGCACGATCACAGTACAAAGCTATAAGCCTGCTAAGTGTACGAGAAACTAAAAACATTGGAGATATAAATCGGTTTACAACACATCTAAACGAACTAAACCGTTATAAAAACAAATTGTCAAACTAAACAAATCCTTTGTATTTAGAGTTCGCCTTTTAGAAATTTTTCCTGTAACCTAGTTTTGTGTCGTCATCAGCTCGAACAAGGACGTGTGTCCTGCGTCAGGTTGGTCTAATTAACGTCTACATTTTCCAGTTGCAGCTGTTGTCACCACTCATCATTATTGGTCATCCAATTATGGTCATTAAAACAACAGCTAACAGTGAGATACCACCACGAGATAATTACCCAGGCACTGTAAATGACCAACTCCCTTAAATTCACATATAACATTACCACATGTTGCTTGTATAACGTACAGCACTTTCCAACCAAACATGGACCTATAATTATTGGACAATTATCGACCAATTATCTAACTACGATGCTGAGATAAGTAGGCCCACATAGTTATTCCGATGATAGCGGCTGTCGCCAATGTAAGAAATGCCTATAAAACACCGCTGTAGCTACTCGGTTTATTGCCTGACAACCAGAAACATTGTTCTATCATAAACAACAAGAAACAAGAAGCTGTAATAGATTGAAATAATTGTGAGGTCAAGGGAACTCACTCTTCTGTATTAGTTATATTTATAATATTGTTATCTTGAGTGATGTCCCTTGGGTACTTCCTTCCGTCCTCTCTGTGTGTTACCATCGTGAGGTAGTTAGACCCAATAAATGTGTTATATACAACCACAGGCTTCTGTCGTCAATCTATTATAACTGGCGACGAAGGATAAACATCTACTAGAAAGAGCACCTAATTACGCAAAAAAGAGGTTTGCTAGAGCTTATTAGCTAATTATTTCTAGAATTATGGCGCTGTATGGCCAAATAAAAGAATTTGATGCGAATGATGAAATCATTCAAGATTACCTAGAGAGGTTAAGCTGTTACCTAGAAGCTAACGACGTGACGATAGAATCCAAAAAGAGAGCTGTTTTGTTAACAGTCATAGGGCCTCAACAATTTAGGCTACTAAAAGACTTATGCGCACCAGCTAGTCTAACAACCAAGAGCTTTAACGAGCTGAGCAAATTGCTAACAGACCACCATGCGCCTACCCCATCAAAGTTTCTATGTCGAGCTAGATTTGACTGTAGGACTCGTCAACCAAACGAGTCAATATTAGAATATGTTGCTGCTTTACGTCATTTAAGTAGATTTTGTGAATTCGGAGACACGCTGTCTGACAGACTATGTGAAAAGTTTGTGACAGGTGTAAACAGCCCTGATATTCAAAGAAAGTTGCTGCTCGAGTCAGATCTAAAATTGGAAAAAGCAATACAACTTGCAATGTCATTCCAGCAGTCATCAGATGCGGCGAGATCTTTAGCACCTTCAGAGATCCATGCAGTAAACAGCAGGTTAGTCAATAAACATCAACCCCATCAGAGCATTCCAACTTATGCTAAACAGCCTGCTCGTTCAAATCCTAGATCTAAATCTAGTAATAATTATCAAAAATGTCATCGATGCAAAGGTCCCCATGCATCTCATCGGTGCAAGTTCAAGTTAGCAACTTGTTATAAGTGCGGTAAGCAAGGTCACATTGCCAAGGCCTGCTTTGCAAAGTCTTCGTCTGTTGCTAAATCTAGCCAGTCAAGACAGTACCGCAACCAAAAGCAGCACTATGGTAACTCTCACCAAGACTACCTAACCCAACCAATGAACCACTCTACCTGTGAAAATGCTCAAACTGATTTGCAGCCGGATTTCAACCTGTTCTCTGTTAAATCAATAAGTCATGCTCCCATCAATGTACCAGTTAATATCAACGGTAAGAGCATCAGCTTCCAACTTGACACTGGAGCATCTCTAACAGTCATCACAAAGAAAGATTTTGACGCTGTCATAGGAGGATCAGTGCCTCTACAGCCATGTCACAAGTGTCTAACAACATACACTGGTGACAATGTTCCGGTGATAGGAGAGTGTATGGTTCATGTAAGTTATAATGGTCAAAGTGTTAAACTTCCTCTTCTTGTGGTTGAAGGAAATGGACCGCCATTACTAGGTAGGAACTGGTTAAGTGATCTTAAGTTAAATTGGGAGAGTATTTGTTCATTGAAGAATGTAAAAGAATCTAGTCTTACTTCACTAGATAAAGTTATATCTGAAAATAAATGTGTTTTTGGTAACTCTGGATTACTAAATGATAGAACAGTGAAGTTAAGCATTAAAGACACAAATCCAAGATACTGCAAAGCTAGAGTTCCACCTTATGCAATGAGGAATAAAATTGAAAATGAGCTAAGTAGATTGGAATCCAATGGCATCATAAAGAAGGTAGACTATTCCGATTGGGCGTCGCCCATTGTGCCAGTGTTAAAGAAGGATGGTTCTATAAGAATTTGTGGAGATTATAAAACTACACTGAATAAGCAAATAGAGCTAAATAGGTACCCTATTCCTAACATTGAGGAAATTTCTTTGAATTTGGCAGGAGGAGACAAATTCACTGAATTAGACTTTAGTCATGCTTACACTCAACTAGAACTGCATCCAGATTCAAAAGTCTATACGACAATAAACACACATAAAGGACTCTACCAATATGAAAGACTATGTTTTGGCATATCATCTAGCCCTGGAATTTTCCAAGCTGTCATGGACAGTATTTTTAAGGATATTCCAAATGTTTGTGTGTACTTTGACAATGTGTACATAACTGGTAAGAATGACACTGAACATCTTAAAACACTTGATAAAGTATTAAAAATTGTTGGTGAAAAAGGTTTAAAGATAAACAAAGATAAATGTCAATTCATGCTGACAGAAATTAGTTTTCTTGGTTATATATTGAGCAAACAAGGCATCAGACCTCAACCTGAGAAAACAAAAGCCTTTAAAGAAGCACCCAAACCTGAAAATACCCAACAACTAAGAGCTTTTTTGGGCTTAATAAATTACTATGCAAAGTTCATAGGAAATCTGTCTGGTAAACTATCACCACTGTACAAGCTGCTTCAGAAAAATGCAACTTGGCACTGGGGTAAACAACAAGATACTGCTTTTAATACAGCAAAAGAGGCTTTGTCTGCTGACACCTTACTAACTCACTATGACCCAGGGAAAAGACTTATATTAACAAGTGATGCTTCACCAGATGGTGTAGGAGCAGTCTTGTCCCACATGGATGAGAAGGGTGACAGACCCATTGCTTTTGCCAGTAGATCTTTGAACCAGGCTGAGAAAAATTATTCTCAGTTAGATAGGGAAGGCTTAGGCATCATTTTTGGTGTTAAGAAATTTCATAAGTTTCTGTTTGGTAGGAAGTTCACCATCTTTACAGATCATAAACCATTGCTAGGTTTATTTGGAGAAAATAAAACCCTACCTGAGCATGCCTCACCAAGAATTCAAAGATGGGCTATCACACTAACTGCATACAATTATGAATTGAAATACAAACCTGGATCTGAGAATAGTGCAGATAGTTTTAGTAGATTACCTTTAAAAAAACCAAAGCCTGAGCTATGTACCAGAAGATGTATTTGTTCTCTTCACTATCATGGATAACTCCAATATAAATGTGAATGATATTAAAAGAGAAACACAAAAAGATGAGTGCTTAATAAAAGTATATGAGTACTGTAAGAATGGTTGGCCTGAAGAGTCTGTGAATGATGACTTAAGGCCATATTAAATAAGAAATAAAAACCCTTTGTGAAGATAATATAAAAGATGGAGAAGATGCAGTCCATTATCAGTTAGAGTTGCCTAAACAAAGTACTTGTAATTTAATAAATGATTATGGTGATATGGCAATTTCAAATGTTTTAAAGAGAATACATTAGTAAGAAGGAATGTGATCATCAAACAACTTTGCTAACAGCATTAGCACTTACAGAAACTAAAAGGATAACATCAAAAGAAGAAAAAGATTTTTGCCATTTAATACACCCACTTCAAATACTGGATCACAGTTGCAAAGTGATATGGTCCAGAATATTACTCATAAACAGTATTTTTGGTTACCAAAAAGCACTATCAGATTACATGAGGAAAATTGATCAATCAAAGAAATCTATGTCAATTAAGGATCTGAATAATAGCATAATACTTTCAGATGCCAATTCAAAAATAGTTCCATTAAATCATGACAAACATTCATTGAAAGAGAATTTGGTGTTAATAAGAATGTGTATCTAAGAAATTATGGGAGAAAGGAAAAATGGATACCAGGTCAAATTGTTCAATGTACAGGACCTGTGCCTTATAAAGTTAAAAATAACTTGTGCAGATAATAAGTGTGAATCTGCCAATCCCACCAAATCTGATCAGTTCACACCAACTCAGTTTGTTCCACAACCAAGTTCTGTTGATATGAGTGAACCAAGTTGTCTGGAGTCAGAAAATGTAAATTCTGGAGTTAATGATTTAAATCCTAGACCTCCTGAGATAGAGAATCCAGATGGTCAGAATCTTGAGTCACCAAATCAGAAGCCACTGAGAAGGTCAAGCAGGACAATCAAAGTCCCAAATAAGTTAGACCTATGATTCTAAAGGTCAAAAGGACTTTGACATCATTGTTTTGTATCTTGATTATGTTGTAGCATATTGTGCATTGTTTGTAAGGATGTAATCTACCATAGTGTTCATGTTACAATATAATTGGTGATTTTTAGGATACTATCAATTGTTCTATTGAGAGATGTGTTATTGTGTTCTAAGGGTAAAGGGATGTAATAGATTGAAATAATTGTGAGGTCAAGGGAACTCACTCTTCTGTATTAGTTATATTTATAATATTGTTATCTTGAGTGATGTCCCTTGGGTACTTCCTTCCGTCCTCTCTGTGTGTTACCATCGTGAGGTAGTTAGACCCAATAAATGTGTTATATACAACCACAGGCTTCTGTCGTCAATCTATTATAGAAGCAACATGAAAACTATCGTAGTCTTACTCGCATTATGCATTGCCTGCTCTCTAGCACAGACTGAAGGTAATATAAATCATGTAATTCATATATATATATATATATATATATATATATATATATATATATATATATCCCTAAATTAAATATGTGTACCTTGTGTTTAGCTTTGCCTGTTTGTATATTTAAATTAGCATAATCTACCTTTTTTACTAGTAACGTTGCTGAAAGTTATATTCACTTGGTCTAAAAATTGTTAATATTCACTTAGAAGAAAAGAGTGTTTTTTAAGTGTTAAATTTGAATACGGAATAGTTCTTAGAATTTTGTATCATATTTTTTACTAAATTTTCATAACTGCTTGCGAAGTTATGAAACGTATGTGGTGTACATGTTGCGCCGCGGGTCGGCTCTTATTTTATATACTTCAAATTTATGATTGGTAAAAATAAAATACCATCCGTCATTTGAACATACTAGAGGAACAGATTGCTCGCGTACTAGTTATATCTCTTATTTTATCGTGTGTACATAGATGGTTCGTGTGAGGTGGACGGCACGGTCTATGCTGAAGGAGAACTGACCCCTGACCCCTGCAACAGGTGCCGTTGCTGGGGAGGTCTGGTCGTCTGCAACAGACGAGGCTGCCCAACAGGTAATTAACCACGTTGATGTTGCACGCACTTTTAAAGCTGTTCATAGAAATACATTCACTTACGTTTTGAAATAACCCGCTTTGTTTTTCTTATCCACGGTCTGGAACAAAATTAATGAAATTTCAGGATATTTAGGAATATCCCATTTAAATAAATATTGTATATAACTTGTTTTAATTTTTATAAATATTGATATTATTCTTTAAAGACAACTGATGTAACGTTTGCATAAAATATACAATATTTATGTCAATTACCTCTATTACTGTGATTAGCTACTGTTCGTCCATGTAGAGATAGTTAAATATAACAGCTGCAAAAAAAAACACAAAAAAAAACAACAACAACAAACAAACATACTATGTAACTGTTTATACCAATTAGCTTGCTCTTGGTTGAACAATGACTATGGGAGCAAAGCCATAAAAAAGAAAAGCAGGCTGAGAGTCAACGGCCGAAATGAAGCAAAATAATTACTTCCAACACTATATTTAAGAACGAAAAAGTAGAAGAAAAGTTTGTACCGATGCTAAAACTGTTTTCTTTATACTTTCTATAGACGGTGAACGAAGACCACTCTCCAAGTAACAACATTATGACCAGTCGTCCAGTTCACTGTCCAGATGAACTGACACCAGATTAAATTAAAACTATTTCTGAAGTCGTCTTTCCTAAATTTAGACTGTCTCGATTGTATTTTATGTTCTAAAACAAAATAAAAACAAACAAAATAAACTTTTTAAACCTCTTTCAAATATTTAGTATCTTGAATGTTTTCTAAAATATTACAGGCTAATTTCGTTTTCTCTGGTAGTTAATCTGATAAGACAACTACAATTAAATAATATTCAATTAAGTATATGTTTAAACTGATTAAATATCACATATTAAATACAGCTACCTCAGATACGCAATACAATATAATAACTTTAAAGATTGTATATAATTTTCTAAAACATTTTTTTTTCATGTTTTTTTAATTTTCACTTTGCTAAAGAAGAAAAAAGGTAAACATAAATGGGTTGTTTAACTTGAGAATAATGTCTTTACGTGCACGCTGGTTTTTCACAGACAACTACTGCCCAATTATCGCAAGGGGCGTCATCAAGGACGAAGCTTCCGCCCCATATAGAACCATACGCGCAGTTGGAATATCCAAGCCAGTTGTCAGGCTGATAAGTCGCAAAAATAGTTGTCTTGACCACCGGGTCAATTTCTTGACCATCGTCCACCCAGACAAACTTCCCCTCCACCTGTATGTCGTTCAGACCAATCCACACGTAGCCTGTGGAGTTGACGATGTATCTGAAGAGATCAAACTTGGCCACAGTTTTGGCCACGAAGAGATGGCCACCCAGACACCGACAGGCGGCTTGAGCGTCTGCGAATTGTTTGTAAGTGTTGAAGTAGGCGGCGTAGGTGGATTCGTTCCCGTAACTGTAGGACCTGAAGATTAGATTTTTTTTTTACATTTTAACACTGTTTACAAATAAACCGGGAGTGATCTCCCTGAAACTTTCTCGAATATTCTAATATAACACTACGGGGGATGGAAACTCGGGACATGAGACAATATTTTTTAATCTATTTTAAATACTTACACTTTTTATAATAGAATAAAATCTCATAGAAAAAAAATTGCACACCAAGTGAACGCCAAATAAATTCGGCATAATATTGCTGAATATTATTAGTACTTTATAAATTCACATGCGTTTTTTTTTTTGAGAAATGGGAAATAGCGTAATTACTACTTCCGGTCAACGGAAAGTACGCAAAGTTTTACAGAACGCAAAGAATTAGATCGTAAACTTACGTGTAAAATTTCATTTATCTATCTTAAATAGTACTCAAGTTATAGGCTTTTGAAAAATTCAAAGTAGAAAAAATTCCACTTCCGGTTATCGGAAATCGCTCAAAAGTTTATACGGATCTACTATTTTGACATAATACTTATATATAAAAAATGTCATTAACCTAGTTGTAACGGTACTCAAGTTATCGTGTTTACACACACACACACAAACAAACAGACACACATACACACAGAAATACGGACAAGATTGCAAAATTATGTTTTTCCGACTCAGAGAAGTGTAACACGTCGAGATTTGCTAAAATCTCGATTTTTTTTTGCACGATTAAAAGACTTTCTCTATACTTCGGATATACGAGAAAGTAAAAAAAAAGATTTTTTTTTTTACGCTAGAAATAGAAAACAAAATAGATCTAAGTTCATGCACGAAATATGTTAACGTTTTCAGAGCATCTGATGTTAAATTTTGAACTTTCTAGCTTAGTACCCATCGCTTACAAACTGAACATATTTTCAGATTATTATACTCTAGAGTTATGAAAGTTTTTAATTTTCGAAAGATTGACGAAGATCAACACAGATTTTTCAGATTATTTTGCTATGGGATTCTTAAATTTATATATTTTTTAAAGGTTGAAAAAGTAGTTTTGTTTTGTTGAGTACATACACATGTTTAAAACTTAGTGTTTATTAAAACGTGTAACTTATCTAGCATAGTTTTAATCCAAACAACAACCAAAATTGAGATCTACGATTTTTGTTACAAATTTCCGACCCACCGGAAATTCTGATAGCTGCCACAACCGTCGCTAAGATAAAGGTCACCTTCTGCAGATGTGGGCGGGCCATCGTCTGCCCGCAGGCCGCCTCCAGGTGTACACATATGTGTCTGGTTGTTGTACATCACACTTCGGCATTGCGTACTGTATCTATACATATACATACATACAGTTTGATTCAAAGGGGAAATAAGATATGCAACACGTTTTTATGATTTAATAAAGTATCAAGATATTTAACAGTTGGGACGTCGTGTTCGAATGGTAGAGCATTTGGCTGCTAGCCCGAAGGTCTCGAGTGCAGATCTCGGTTCGGACTTGTGACGTTAGGACGTCCCTGAGTCCACCCAGCTCTGAAGGACGTCTGATTTACGTCGGGGAAAATAAATGTGGCTGGGCCTAGTGCCGACCACACGATCTTTTCATATCCTGAGGTAAAAAAAAACTTGTCCAATTGGTGACTAAGACTAAAGAGGAACTTTAATTAAACTTTGACGACATTGCTTTGAATAGAGTATCCACATATAAAATAAACTGGGAGTGATCTCCCCTAAACTTTCTCGAATATTCTTTTATAACACTTCGGGGGATGGCAACTCGGGATACAGACATGCTTTTTAATCAATTCTTAATTACTTAAACTTTTTAAAATAGAATAGAATCTAGTTGAAAAAAGAATTGCTTACCAAGTGAACGAAAATAATCTGAGTATAATAATGCAGAATATTATTAGTATTTTATAAATTCACATTCGTTTTTTTTTTTAGAAATCGGAAATAGCGCAAATTACTACTTGCGGTCAACGAAAATTACTCAAAATTCAAAAGAAGGCAAAGAATTTGATCGTATACTTACATATGCAATTTCGTTTATCCTATCTGAAACAATAATCAAATTATCTGCTTTTGAAAAATCAAAAGTAGAATAAGTTCCACTTCCGATTCCCGGAAATCGCTGAAAAGTTGATACAGAACTTCAAATTTGATATAATACTTGTAGATTAAATTTCATCAACCTAGCAGTAACGGTAATCAAGTTATCGTGTTCACAGGCATACATACACAAAAACACAGAGAAATATGGACAGAATTGCAAAGCCCAGTTTTTCCGACACGATTATGCATAGAACACCAAAATTTTGATAAATCTGCATTTAATTTTTTTTCCCGATCAAAATAAGTTCCCTATAATCCGTAAATGATGAAGTACTGAGGTGTAAAACGATGAAAACTGTCAAAATGTCATGTGATTACAATACTTCCTCTATACTCTGTATACGAGAAAGTAAAAATATATAATTGAACATAAAATAAAACAACACATTGGTAGAAGCGTAAGAACAATCGTATGTTGTATACGCTATAAAAAGTGCAATTGATCCAATTAGCCATACTGAATATTTTCTATAAAAACATACTGCTTTGGGGTATAATCTATATATTATTATCGATGAATATTATAGTAACATGGTTATAAATCATTTGATTTTTATCATTAAGAGGAATTATGTATTATTGGAAAAAGGTGTATATCTCCCAAATATATACAATTGATTCTTGACATATTTCAAAGTTTATAAATTCAAAAAATATTTGCCATATTTATATTTTCAATGTACTTCTTTATTTTTTTTTTACATTACTGCACAACAATTACAATATACAGACAATATAAAGCAACTATTGGTACTTTTTAGTTTCTATCCGTAGAAAAGTGTTTCTGATTACTATAAACATAACATCACATCGATATAGATAATTCTCTACGTCGCCCAACCATTCGGGATACCACTACGCAAGCTTTCTAACGCCCCTTTTGCCCCCTCTCCAGGCATGCGCAACAGATCATATCGCTATCACCCCACACCCACCAGTCTGGTGAGCTGTGGTTCACGCCGAATGTTTACAATCGTAGAGCCGGGTTGAATTAGTGACGGCCATTAGGGGCAGATAATGTAGTTTTTAAATGATTTGGAACTAAGGGGAGGTAACAAGTTCTGCTTGATCTGCTTATCTACTTGTACAAGTTAACACATAAAAAAATACAAGTGTGTTGAGTGTGGCTTGAAATGAGACGTCAAGAGCTTACCTGGTCAGACACTTTATTGCACACTCCGTCCTTGTCTTCTCCACCCAGCTGTTACCCAGACGCTCCGGCCCACATCCGGCAACAAGCTTCTTGTGAAATGAGTTTATCGTCATATTCGCCGTTACAGGCCAGAGCGACGTCACCACTGTTGGTATTACAGGAACAAAAAAAATATTATCACCATTCGTATTTGTTATGCATAATTATAATGCTATAACCCGGCATTATTCAACCGTTTTCTAGAGTACATGAGGTTAAAATAATTAAATATCTAAACCTAAAACTCCAACTAAAACAGTTGTTCGTATGTGTAGATTGAATTCATTTACAAAATTAACACACATTGTAATTTCAGCATAATTACAAGTTTAAATTTCTAAAGCAACATATGAATATTTCAGCCAACTAAGATATGCATTTAAGCGTATGTAATTTTCTGGGAAATAATTTGCGCAAAATTTGACCTCATACTTAAAAAAGGCCATACAACATTATGATTCACCGTGGCAGGCGAGTTTCCCTTCATTTGTCTAGTAAATTTAAAAAAAAGACACCATAAAAAAAAACAACAACAGCTGTTATACCGATTACCTGTAATGAATTTAAACATTGTTTGTTTCATATTGCAATCAAGTGTTAATCTGTCTTTAAAATCTCTAGTACTGGTTTATTCCAGAAGTTAGACGTTTGGTTTTATACAGATTCTAAGTAACCAAAGCACAATATAAATATAGTCAACAAAAGAACGATTAAGGTGTAAAAAAAGAAATAAAGTATTGTTAACCAAAGTACAACATCGATCCAGCAAGCGAAATAAATCTTGGCTTAATGGCCCTTAGGCCATAACCTAAGCTGAGTATACATACATTGGGACTAGATTCCATGTAGAGATCAATGACGTGTTAATGATACGTAACTTTGTGTCTACTTGTATTTGGACCAGATACCCTTGTACAGATCAATGGTGTGTAAATGTTACGGGACTTTGTGTCTACATGCAACTATTGACATGTCCAAATAACCTGATATAAAACTGCTGCATTGATTGGGTAATCAAGAAGAAATCTAAGTCTGGAAGTTTTAAATCACCAGACGGGATGTATTTACTCAGTACATAAGTGCCATTACCATATGTTGTAATGTGAACAATGATATATACAAACCTCCTATAGCTTTCAATATTCACCTTGCTCCTTATTTTGCCCACCGATTCTTTGTTTTTTGCCTCATTTTTTTTTTCAGAGTGTGTAAGGCTTTTTTTTTCTGCCTAATATGCTATTTGATTACAATTTTCAGCATCGCTGTGTGATGATTAATACAGATATTCTTTGAAGAGGAATAAATACTTGTGAAGACTACTCCATGTTTGAAATAACGTAAACCTTACGAGGTCGAATTCTCGTACTTTGCACACAAAAAAAGGATTTATGTCACTTCAACTAATTACACCGCAATGCACTTTTTGGATATTGATTATTGTAATGCATTGGTGTAATCGGTTTTGTATTTCTTGCCCAGGAAAAAATGGTTAAGGCTGTGTGTGTATAGGGGTGGAGGAGTGGTGCCTCTGCCATTGTTTCAACTTAGAGAAGACAAACAGTACTGTATTGTAAAGGGACGCAACAAGAACATATAAATAACAAAGGGAGTTAAATCTGTGCCGCCTCGAGAGAGAAAAAAAGAGGGTTGGGTGAATGGAAAAAATAAAGTAGGGCATGAAAGTTAAATAACTCTTTTGTTACACAAATTCTAAATCTTAAAAAAAAGATAAAATGTCCACTTTGTGGATTATTCTCTGTGAATGGTTAACGACCAATTTTTTTTTTACATTATATTGCTAGGTCTTAAATACACACTGCACGTCTTTTCCAATTCACATATTAAAGTCTTTAACTTAAATGAACATGTTACATGTGTCCCCTATGTTGATATAACGAAGTTTTACGCCGGCAGTTGTGACATAAAAGGCTATTTACCAATTTTCTGGGAGAAGAAAACTAAATAATCAATTTATTTCATTGTTTGTGGTATTCCATTGTTTAATATATACTAGCTGCATACCCGTGCTCCGCCACGGGGAATCTTTTTAAATGTACCAAGTATGGAACATAATAAAACTAAACACAATCGCAAAAGAAAACACAAACACATTAGAAAAAACAACGCAAAAACAAACACAACAAGCACAATAGAAAACACATACACAACGCCAACACAAACACAAAAGAAAACACAAACACAATGCAAGCACATACAAAAACACAATCCCATAGCGCTCACAGGAAAGCCTATCGTGCAAAATAGAACCCTGGCGGGCGCCAGCGAATTCGTCTGATTCAATTTAGTGAACGACTATAAAAAACCCAGCTTGTCCGCAATTTGAAAGTTCAAACTAAACATATGGGACATTTAGTAGTGGCTTCTGAACTGTTATTGATTACAAATAATAATTAGTAATCAGTACGTTTAGTGTATACAATATTGCACTTTATCAATCCATGCTAATTATATTAGTGCATTATGCTATTTATATTTGTATTATATTAATGCAGATTTTGCATTCAAATTTTTTTTATTAGCGTGAGCTGAATTTATTTAAAAATTACCTCCCCTTTGCATAACGATTGAAATATTATATTAATTAGTTTTTCGACACTACTGTTATGAAAATGTATCAACTTTTTCCAGGAATCTAAAGGAAAATTATATTTGACATTGATCCATTTAATGTTTTAGCAATGTGCGTGTGTATAATATTTTTTTTGCGTTATTCAAAAGTTTAAAACTGTGGCAACTATAAAATAAAACAAATAAATTAAATTATATAAACAAACCCTACTCTATTATCTATGGAAATAAGAAAAAGCTATGCGATATGCTTTTCAGCTTGTAGATGATCTATTAGATTTTATCTCAAGTGAATCCATTATGGGAAAACCAACGGCTGCTGATTTAAAGCTCGGCTTAGCAACGGCACCTGTTTTATTTGCTGCACAAGAGTTTCCTGAGTTACATCCCATGATAATGAGGAGGTTCTCTCAAGTTGGGGATGTTGAGCAGGCTAGAGAATTTGTTGCTAAGAGTGATGGCGTGGAACAGACCAAGTTGCTTGCTCTTCACCAGAGCCGTGAAGCTGTAAATATGTTAAAAGACTTTGCTCCGTATGACGCCCAGAGAGCCCTTATTAAGCTTGCCCAAATTCTGCTGGACAGAAAAAGTTAATGATAAAAATCTGTAGGATATATTTTAGTAGCTATTAGCTTAATCTTTTTAAATTTATTCAATTTCATTTGAAAGTTTGTGTAAATTTTGATTTAAAAAACAGAGGTAACTAAGGTGTACATGTGACATTCATTTCAACATCAAAATATTGCACAATTTATATTGACATAATTAAATAGTTTCTTTTATATACATACAGTACACAAAAAAAATTATTGCATGGTGTGATGTTTATTGTAATGGTTCCAAGTTCTATAGCGATGACTGAAGGAAGGACTGATACACTACCAGCAGCTTTATATTAGAAATATATGCAGAGATACCTGGAAGAATCTTTGAACGTCACTTGTGTTTTTTTTTCAATTATTTGGCTCGTGTCGTTACCAGACGGAGTTTGTGCTTCTAGAATAAAGGAATACATTGACTGACATAGTGATGGGTTGGCTGACTGTAGAATAAACCGAAGGAGCGACCGACCGACTTTGCATGCGATCTGTTTTAAAGATTAATCGAATAAAGAAATAACTATTACAATAATAGAATTAATCTTTATAGTCGATGGTTAGTATTAAAACTGAATGTGTCTACTAAATTTCCGAGCAGAGAGTCCGTATAATAAAGGGAGATAAATACATTTTCTGTAGAAAGATGTTTAGAATTCAATTGTAGCTTCCCCTGATCGAGTTATTTAGTTAAATTTAAAATCAATTTAGTAATTTATATTTGCAACATTAAAACTTCTTGGATTTAACAGATTTAAAGTCACACTGCTAATGCGTTTTAAGAAAACTAAATTAAAAGTAATTCAGAATATTTTATTTAGAAGTGCGTTGATGGAAATACACCAAGCACTAATTAGACAATAGATTTGTATTAATTAATAAAATTTGTATCATTGTAATTCTCTGTAATCACAAATATATTTCAGCTCTACTAAAAACCCAAATTCCACCCCGCAACCCCCCCCCCCCCTTAACCTACCACGCCGAGGAAAAAAAATCCCTTGAATCATCATTTAATTACACATTTGCATTTTCAGGTTGGTTTTTTTTAAATTTATTTTTTTATTTTTTTATTTAGACGTTTTGTATTAGATCTATGTATACGTAAACCATCTTAATGAACGAAAGTAGGCTACAAGTAAGAAAGAAATATTACTATTGTAAATCTGTATCAGTCCTCACAAGCCGGTGATGAAAACTGTAATACTAAAGCGAACACACACAACTGACGCTGTAAATTACATGTCTGAGGCAAAAAAAAATGTAATCAGTGATGATAAGTTTCTGATGTAAACATATAACTATATTAAAAAATATCATACAATATGATACAAAAATATCAACTCTTTAAAAACGAAATCACTTTAGAACCTTGCTTAGTTAAAGATAAATATTTATATAGCTTTAAAATTGCAAGCATTTTAAATGCAATAAAAAATAAATAAATCAAAGAATGATTTCCCCTAAACATTCTCGCATCTATATAGCCTATATATTTCTCTTCTTGGAGAACATAGAAAACACCAAGCTGTAAGCGCGCCTAGCAGCCCCCTCTTTTCCTCTCTAAGCATATCCCTACCACCCCACCCCCACTTGGTCTGGTGAGCTGTGGTTCACGTTAAAAGTTTACAAATCGTAGAGCCGGGTTTAGTGACGGCTATAAGTGGCAGAAAATTTAGTTTGAAACGATTTTAAACTTAAGGGAGGTAACTAAGAGGAGGCTGCTTTCACGGGGGGTTGGGGTGGGGTAGGGGTTGGGGAAAGAAGGGTGGGGGGTGTTATCGTCCTTAACGAGCTACTGATAAATAAAATATTTTCAGTGGCAGAATTGGTACTGTCAAATTCACACATTATGAATTAATGAAAAGTAGAAAATAAAACAACTAAATAGCGCCGTATGATACGCCGCGGGTCGGCTCGTATTTTTATATAACGGTAAGGGAGATGTCGTTTTCGGTGCAATCTGGATATATAAATAACTCAACCGTGTTCCATTCCCGATTCATACACATCGAGCTGGACTCGCTCTTTTTCTTCATTTCGTTTGATTATCAAGGCTTAGAAAGTAAGTTTTCATTGACTCTGCTTTTTCAAACTTCTAAAAGAACTTGACGGATATTCCTCTTTCTTAAATCCGACTACTAGATAAATAACTGCGATTTTCAATTAATATCTGTATTAAACGAAAAGGCACAAATATATATATATATATATATATATATATATATATATATATATATATATATATATATATATATATATATATATATATATATATATATATATATATATATAAATATAAAATTGTGTTTTAATTTAAAATTCTTATATATATATATATATATATATATATATATATATATATATATATATATATATATATATATATATATATATATATATATATATATATATATATACAGAGAGAGAGAGAGAGAGAGAGATTGCATTAACATACCCACATAATATTTAGCTGATTTTCAAAATAACATGTGAAAAAAAAATAACTGTGAATAAATAAAATTCAGTTGGGATGGTTTATATTCAAATATATATTAACTCTTTTAAGATGAAATAAACCGGGAGTGATCTCCCCTAAACTTTCTCGAATATTCTTATATAACTTGGAAGATAGACATGATTTTTAATTACTTAAACTTTAAACTTTTAAAAATAGAATAGAATCTCATATTAGTACTTTATAAATTTACATGGGTTTTATTTAAGAAATCGGAAATAGCGTAAAATAGTACTTCCGGTCAACGGAAATTACTTAAAATTTAACAGAAGGTAGAACATTAGATCTTTTACTTATATGTGAAATTTCATTCATCTATCCTAAATAGTATTTAAGTTATAAGCTTTTGAAAAATTCAAAATAGAAAAATGACCACTTACGGTTATCGGAAATCGCTCAAAAGTTGATACGGATCTACGATTTTGATAGAATACTTATATCTGAAATTTCATCAACCTAGCTGTAACGGTTATCAAGTTATCGTGTTTACACACAGACAGACACACAGACATACGGACAAGATTACAAAATTATGTTTTTCTGTATCTGTGAGGTGTAAAACGTCGAGATTTGTAAAAATCTCGATTTTTTTGCACGATTACAATACTTTCTCTATACTTCGTATATACGAGAAAAATGTGTAATGTCAAATAGCAGACATCATTAAAGATGATTAGGTTAGGCTAGGCTAAATATACCTATGCTAGGCTGGATTTGACTAGGTTAGGTTAGGTTAGGTTCGGATAAAAGTTATGTTCGGTAAGGTTAGGTTATGTAAGTTTAAGTTAGGTTAAGTTAGGGTAGTTTAGGTTAGGTTAGTTTAGGTTAGGTTAGGTTAAGTTAGGTTAGGTTAGGTTAGGTTAGGTTAGGTTAGGTTAGGTTAGGTTAGGTTAGGTTAGGTTAGGTTAGGTTAGGTTAGGCTAGGTTAGGTTAGGTTAGGTTAGGTTAGGTTGGGTTGGGTTGGGTTAGGTTAGGTTAGGTTAGGCTAGGCTAGGCTAGGCTAGGCTAGACTATGCTAGGTTAGGTTAGGTTAGGTTAGGTTAGGTTAGGTTAGGTTAGGTTAGGTTAGGTTAGGTTAGGTTGGGTTTGGTTAGGTTGGGTTAGGTTGGGTTGGGTTGGGTTAGGTTAGGTTAGGTTAGGTTAGGTTAGGTTAGGTTAGGTTAGGTTAGGTTAGGTTAGGTTAGGTTAGGCTAGGTTAAGCTAGGTTAGGCTAGGTTAGGTTAAATTACGGAATTTATAGGCACAGGGCAATTAGCTGGACAATTTGCGACCAAACCCAGTTGTGTAAGTCACGTTAAGAGGAACAAAATCTAGTAACATTAAACTTCAGACTTCCGTAAACGAATGCATGCGGCGTGTATTGAAAATCGGTTGACCTGAGAAAATTAGCACTTAGTGATATATTTTAAAAATAACGAGCGAAACAAAAATTGACAAAGAAATAAGAAAGCAGAAACAGGGTTGGTTAGGATACACTTAAATACAAATGCATTGAGGCTAATTCAATTAGTAATAGAAAAAAGATAGTGTTAGTTACCTCACAAGTTAAAGACAGTTACAAATACTATGGACATTTCGACCCAAGGTCTTCGTCATGATACACTTGAAAAAAAAAACAGCAAACAACATCTCATCTCCAACATTGAGTTAAAATGAGAAGGTCAAAGTTGAAAGAGGTCAGTTGTCAGTAGAGCAAAAGCAGCCGGAATGTCATTCAGTTGTGTTGTTGTGTCTTGTGACCAACTAGTGGTCAAAAGTTAGAACTTCTTTTAGACGCGTTTTTCTCTCCGGGGAAAAGGGACTAGTCGCAATAAAATTGTCTTTGTAAGATACGTTATTTTCTAATTCATTCGCAAAGTAGGCCTACATATACAGTTTTTCCCCTTTATTTAATGCATACTTCTGCATTTTGTGTTATGTTCATTCATTTAAAATCTAGTGATTTATGTATCGTCTTGGACAACGAAGTCTGTTATTAAAACTTAGTGATTGACAATATTTATGCTTCAGCTCTAACTCCCTTCCTAGTAAATAACTATTTCCTATAAATCTATAATAATTATGTAGTAAAATTGTCCTGAGTGTTATACCTTGCTTGTCTAAATAATAATTGTTTTTTTAGCTATTATGAAAGCTTGGCAATAATCAATCGAAAAATAAAAACATGTGTGTGTTGTTTTTAGCCCTGTTACGATTACGCTTGCCTTTAAAGAGTAACACGACGTTTATGAGATAAATGCACTTCAATTTCTCTGTTTTACACATTCATTTATAATCATCTTTAGTAAATCGTAGGTTTAAATGTTAGCGGTGGTGTAAATAAAATTGAGCGATTTGGAGTGAGTAGATGTAGAATAGTTTTTTTTAACCTGGATTCGATCTAAGGTATGTAGGGATTGGTAGATGAAGGGATAGAGTGGCCAGCACTTTGAACAGCCGCCTTTCCTTTCCCTGTGAGATAGGTACCCATCAGAACTGGGTGGACTCAGGGACGGTCTACTGAGGTGAACTTAGATTCGAAGGCTGTATTCTGATTCTATCTAAATGTTTTAGTCTGAATGTAATTTTTTTGTGAGTTGAAATAATGCAATCCTTTTCCTCCATTTAGTTTGATGTGGATTATAATTTGGTGGTTAATGTTCCTGATCGTGGTTTTAAATACAAACTCTCTGGTATTTTTGTTTGTTTGTTTATTTGGTGAAGTTAGTTGACATTTTGCTAAAGGTTGATCTAAAAATAATTTTGGTTATTAAGTAATTACTAATGCTGCATGGACGAAAATGGTAGTATTAAAGTTTTTGTATTTGTCCCTCTTTTGTTTGATTTTTTTCATTCAGTTTCTTTCAAGTGTCGGAATGTCTGTGCATGTTATACCGTACAGTTTGAGTATGTCTCTTATTGTGAATGGTATGTCGTACATTGTTTTGCCTGTCCGTCAAACAAATCACATTATTTTTTTGTTACTTTTTCCTCCCTTACCTCTTCGAACATCGTGAAGATCGTATATTTGTTCTAATATTATATTGTAACTAGCCGACAGGCTCTACGATTGTAAACATTTAGCGTGAACCTCAGCTCACCAGACTGGTGGGGTTGGGTGTGATAGCGGTATGATCTGTTTCCCTTTATAAATTTTAATGTAACCGTCATCAGCTAGACCTAGTACATCTGTTCTGCGTCAGACTGGTAATTAACATCTAATTAACGTCTACTTAACGTCTACATCTTCCAGTTTCATCTGTTGTCACTACTCATCATTATTGGTCATCCTATTATTATCATTACAACAACACCATACAGTCAGATACACCCACGAGATAATTACCCAGGCATTTTTAATGTCCATCTCCCTTAAACTCACATTTAACGTTGCCACATATTGCAAGTGTAATGTACAGCATTTTACAACCAGACATGGACATGTAATTATTGACAATACTCTACCAATTATCTCAATTCGTGCTGAGATAAATACATAGTTAAACAGAAATTGACCTCGTTATTCCGACGATAAAGGCTGTGGCCAATGTAAGAGATGCATATAAAGCTCCACTGTAGCTACTGTGTTCATTGACTGAAAACCAGAAACATTCATTACAAGCATCATGAAAACTATCGTAGTCTTAGTTGCATTGTGCATCGCCTGTTCTCTTGCACAGACTGAAGGTACTGTATCTATAATAGAAATGTATATTTTTTTCTATATATATCATTCTCTTCATGGAGACCATAGAAAACACCACACAGCTTAGCGACCCCTCTCATCCCCACCTGTAGGTGAGTTGTGATTCATCACGAATGTTTACAACCGTAGAACCGGGTTAGTGATGGCTATTAGGGGCAGATAATTTAGTATTAAATGATTTGAAACGAAGGGGAGGTTGCAATTTCTGATTGATCTTTTCTGTGTCTGTAAGCGACTGCTTTCACTGGGCGGAAAGGGGGGGGGGGGGGGGAAAGGGCGGGAGAGGGTAGTGTTGAATTCACAAATTATGTATTGCTGATCAGCAAAAAATAAAACAACTAGATGTCGGCATATACTACGCCGCGGGTCAGCTCGTATATATATATATATATATATATATATATATATATATATATATATATATATATATATATATATATTTATATATATATATATATATATATATATATATATATATATATATATATATATATATATATATATTACTATATAAATATATATGTATAGCTTGTGTTTATATTGGCGTTTTTCTATTTTTGCATTTGCATATTCCACAACTTTATTAGTCACATGTCTGAAATTTCTATTCAGTTGTAAAAACGGATATATTATGACTTTAGTGAAAAATGTGTGTTGTTTTTAAGAGTTAGATCTGGGTACGGAGTAGTCCTAGTTCTTAGAATTGTTTATAAAACCATTATATTTAAAACTTTAACAACTGTATGTGAAGGTTTTGAAAGTCTCATATTATAGTGTATGTTTTATAATAAAACATACTATGATTGTTGTTATTAATGGAAACTTATTTAATCGTTCTAATGATTATATAAAATGCTTTCAATCTGTGTTTGAACACTACTAAATTTTCAGCCGGCCAGGCGGTTTAAACGCGCAAGCAGAATCGAGAACATAGAACGAATTACCATTCATCATTTGAACAGACTACAGAAACACTATTTAGCTGTCTAGTTATGTCTTAAAATTTTTGTATGTGTACAGGTGATGGTTCGTGTGAGGTGGACGGCACGGTCTATGCTGAAGGAGAACTGACCCCTGACCCCTGCAACAGGTGCCGTTGCTGGGGAGGTCTGGTCGTCTGCGTCCTCCGAGGCTGCCCAACAGGTAATTAACCACGTTGACGTTGCACGCACTTTTAAAGCTGCATATAAGAATACTTTTAATCAAAGCGGGAGTGATTTCCCCTAAACTTTATCGAATATTCGTAAAGCAGTGGCGTAGCGAGGTTGGTGTCACCCGGTGTGGCACTTATTGGTGTCACCTCCCCCCCCCGCCTCCGTAAAAAATTATATATAAACCCTCTCCCTCTCTCTCTCTCTCTCTCTCTCTCTCTCTCTCTCTCTCTCTCTCTCTCTATATATATATATATATATATATATATATATATATATATATATATATATATATATATATATATAAAGAGAGAGAGGGTTATACATATATATATACATACATACATATATAAAGAGAGAGAGGGTTATACATATATATATACATATATATATATATATATATGTATATATATATATATATATATATATATATATTTATATATATTTATATATATATAATATAAAGTTCCATTCTGTATGTATGTTTGTAGACAAGCCTCTCTCAACAGACCAGCCTCTCTCAACAGACCAGCCTCTCTCAACAGACCAGCCTCTCTCAACACACCAGTCTTACCACATAACAGACCAGCCTCTCTCAATACACCAGTCTTACCACATAACAGACCAGCCTCTCTCAACAGACCAGCCTCTCTCAACAGACCAGCCTCTCTCAACACACCAGTCTTACCACATAACAGACCAGCCTCTCTCAACACACCAGTCTTACCACATAACAGACCAGCCTCTCTCAACAGACCAGCCTCTCTCAACAGACCAGCCTCTCTCAACAGACCAGCCTCTCTCAACACACCAGTCTTACCACATAACAGACCAGTCTCTCTCAACACACCAGCCTCTCTCAACATACCAGCCTCTTTCAACAGACCAGCCTCTCTCAACAGACCAGCCTCTCTCAACAGACCAGCCTCTCTCAACACACCAGCCTCTTTCAACAGTCCATTCTTACCATACAAGAGACCAGCCACTCTCAAAAGATTAGTTTTATCCTACAATAGACAAGCCTCTCTCAACACGCAAGTCTTACCATACAAGACACCAGCCTTTCTCAATAGACCAGCCTCACATAACAGACATTAGACACCAACCTCTCTAAAAAGACCAGCCTTACCATACAAGAGACCAGCCGATCTCAAAAGACCAGTCAGACCTATCAAGAATTCAAAGCGACAGATATTCGTGCACTGCAGTACAAGCCTGATGCTACTGTCTACTACAAAGTGAATTAGCAGATAGCTGGCAATTGCTAAGCTAGGGTCGTAAGATTATGATCTCATCTGTAGCCCCTGTCAAGTTGTACAAGAGCAGAAAAAAAAAGATAAAAGCTGTCATATATGAGTACCTAAAAGCAAGTCATAAACACACCTTTTTATTATGATTTCCCTGATTTAAAAAAAAATGTTGCCATTTTAATGATTCTTTATGAGACGTTTATTCAAAGAATAAATTTTTAAAATAAACACATTTTTTTGTGTTACATTTTTGTAAAATAAGTAAACATTAAGTCAGTATTAATGTGATTAGTGTGTTATGTCTCATTCATAATATATCTGACAATACGGTTTCTGTTTTTACTATTATCATTATACAAACCCAGCACCCACCAGATTTATTAAAATAAACTGTGAGAATAGAAAGATGTAATAATTAAAGCATAACCTTCAACAGTTAACAAGTCTAGTGCTAAATACAGACATAATGAATACAGTCGAAAGCGATAAAGCCATACTAAAACATCTCTACTAAAATTAAACTGACTCCATAATGTAGAATAAACTCAAATAATTAAAATATGAGCCCAAAACTATAATCTAAATATTATGAAGTGTTAATTATAACTTAAAAACATAAACATAACTAAATCATTGGACAAAACGAACGAACGCGGCTGAGACCGAAATTCTCGGTACAAAACAGCTAAGTCTGCGCGCGCACAGATAGACGGTTTGCACCGAGAATTTTAGACCGAGCAAACCGTCTATCTTTTTAAACCTGCTATAATTTTGTAAATATCAACAAAACCCATTTTAATACGCTACAGTATAGTCGGTAGAGAGTTTCTTCGGAGATATCTTTAAAAAAAAATGGTATTAGAGAGATCGAGAAGGAAATAATCAGTTAATTGTCTCTTCTGTAAAATTTACATTTTCGGAGTTAGACGGTTTGCGACCGAGACCATCGATATATATATATATATATATATATATATATATATATATATATATATATATATATATATATATATATATAAAGTTCCATTCTGTATGTATGTTAGTAGAATGTTTGTAATCGAGGATTACAAAGGAATATAATTAAAAACAAAAAAAAAATCGATACTTCCATGGATTTAAGTGTTAGATTATTATAGTGCTCATGGTCTAAATTTATGAGTTAAAAAATTACTATTGAAAGTCTTTAAAAACAATTTTCATTGCATATACTTAGAATAATAATTTTCAATTATGAACAATACATAACATTTTTAAAAAAGTGTATCAACGTTTATAAAATTTCTAAAATTGTGTCTGAAATGTATTTGCATTTTGTTCTTTAGTTTTCATAACGTCCCTTGATTTGGAAAACACAGTTACTTCCCTTTTAAAAAAACCATTAAATCGGGGGGGGGGGGACGAATTTACTTTTTATTACTTTGTTTTGATGTTAGGAAAAAAATAATTACATAATTAGCGTGGATTGATTAAGTGTAATGTCGTTGGTATTTTTAATACTGCTTTTTATTTATTCCATACACTGAACGTACTGTTTACTACTTATTTTTTTGTTTTCGTTTGCTTTTTTGTTTGTGTTAGTGTTTGTGTTTTCTTTGTGTTGTTGGTTGGATTTGTCTTGTCGTTTGTTTTTGTGTTTTCGTTTGTGTTTGTTTTGTGCTAGTGTTATGCTTGCGTTTTTTTAATGTTTTGGTGGGTTGTGAGAAAAGTAAAAATTATGCATATTATTTTACGTCTTATAACTAGGTAAAGAAAAAAAGTGAAATTTCAAGATATTGAGCAATTTGATTTGTAATTAGATATGGTATTAAATGTGATTATTTAAAATATTTATTTAAATATTTAATAACAAATTATGTAACTTCCGCATGAAATATAACATTTTTGTGTCAACGACCTCCATTTTTATGTGTACCAACTGCTCGCCCATATAAAGACCGTTAATTCTTGGAGTAGAAAAATAAAAACAAAAAAACTATAATGTAACTATTTGTACAAATTAGTGTTTGTTCTTTGTTGAACAAAGGTTTTGGGAGCATATGCAAAAAGAAAAGCCGGCTGAAATCTTAGTCAATGTGTCGCATACAATGTTGACACTGAATACATTCTTGTGCTGGAAGGAATCCCCTAGAAAAGTTTGTACCGTTGCTAAAACTGTTTTCTTGTAATTTCTACAGACCGTAAACGAAGACCAGTCTCGAAGTAACAACATTATAAGCAGTCGTCAAGTTCACTCTCCATGTGAACTGACACCAGATTCAATTAAAACTATTTCTGAAGTCATCTTCCCTAAATTTAGACTATCTGGATTGTATTGCATGTTCTAAAACAAAATTACAACAAACAAAATAAACTTTTTAAAGATCTTTCATTTTGTTTCTTGAATGTTTTCTAAAATATTACAGGCTAATTTCGTTTTCTCTAGTAGTTAAGCTTATAGCATAGGACAACTAGAATTGAATAATATTCAATTAAGTATATGTTTAAACTGATTAAATATCACATATTAACTACATCTAGGGGTCGGCGTGGTCGAGTCGGTAAAGCTCATGGTTGCTAAACCGAAAAGTTTTGAGTTCGAACCCTCGGGCAGATGAGGCTCGTTCATAATTTCGAAAAAGTCTGGCAGAAGGCTCGATCCCCTCCAACACTAAAACTTAAGAACGAAGAAGAAGAACTACATCTACTTCAGATATACAATAAAATATAATAACTTTAAAGATTATACATAATTTTCTAAAACATTTTTTTCATGTTTATTTATTTCACTTTGCTAAAGAACTAAAAAAAAAAGTCAACAAAAATGGGCACGCTAATTTGTCTTACAGATGTTTCTATTTGTACTAGAGAATAATGTCTTTACGTGCACGCTGGTTTTTCACAGACAACTTGTTTCAAACTATCGCAGGGGGCGTCATCAAGAACGAAGCTTCCACCCCACATAGCACCATACGCGCAGTTGGAATTCCCCCCGTTATCCGGCTGGTTAGTCGCAAAAATAATTGTCTTGACCACCGGGTCAACTTCTTGACCATCATCCACCCAGACAAACTTCCCCTCCACTTGTATATCGTTCAGACCAATCCACACGTAGTTTGTGGAGCTGACGATGTATCTGAAGAGATCAAACTTGGCCACAGTTTTGGCCACGAAGAGATGGCCACCAAGACACCGACAGGCGGCTTCAGCGTCTGCGAATTGTTTGTAAGTGTTGAAGTAGGCGGCGTAGGTGGATTCGTTCCCGTAACTGTAGGACCTGGGTTGGAAAGGTGAAGTATTAAACATGTTATAACTTTGTTTACAAGAAAAAGACAAGAAAAAACATAATTTACTCTAATAAAGATTGAAAAAAAGATAAGGCAATGTATCAAATGTCGTAACGTTATAAGAAACTTCTAATGAAAAAAAAAGTCAAAACTCTAGCTAAGTACCTATTGCTTACGAACTTAACATATTTCTCAGATTATTACACCATGGAGTTATTACATTTAATGCTGATTAATAAAAGATCAACACAGATTTTTCAAATTATTTTTGTATGGAATTCTAACCTTTGTTTATTTTTAATTTTTAAAAGATTGATAAAATTTAAAGATTTTCATATTGATTTACTCTGGAATTCTTACATCTTTTTTTTTTTGCATTTTTAAAAGATTACGAAAATTGACACAGATCTTTCACATTATTTTACAACGGGATTTTCATATTGATTGATTAAGAAAAAAAAAGAGAAATTAGTTTTATTTTATGATTACCTACAAACTTTTCGAACTTAGGATTTTATGAACGCTGTAATTTTTCAGAAATAGTTTTAATTGAAACACCAACCAAGCAAGAGAATTCAAGATTTTGTGTGAAAATTTCCGACCCACCGGAAATTCTGATAGCTGCCACAACCGTCGCTAAGATAAAGGTCACCTTCTGCAGATGTGGGTGGGCCGTCGTTTACCCACAGGCCGCCTCCAGGTGTACACATTTGTGTCTGGTTGTTGTACATCACACTTCGGCATTGCGTACTGTATCTATACATGTACATAATTACAGTTTGGTTCAATGGGATAGAATGATACACAACATGTTTTTATGATTTAACTAAGTATCAAGATATTTAACAGTTGGGACGGCGTGTTCGAATAGTAGAGCATTTGGCTGCTAGCCCGAAGGTCTCGAGTTCGGATCTCGGTTCGGACTAACGTTGGGTAAAATAAAGTTGGTTGGGCCTAGTGCCGACCACACGATCTTTTCATATTCTGAGGTAAAAAAAAACTTGTGAACTCTACGTCATCGGCCCGATTGGTCACTAGGTCTAAAGAGGAACTTAAATTAAACTTTGGTCATAGTACTTCGAATTAAAAATCCACAAATAAAAAATATAACAATAAAAATATAGGGTGCTGTTAATCGTCTTTCACGAGCTACTGATAGTGTTTTAAAGCAAAATATTTTCAGACTCAGCATTTGTAGTGGCAAATTCACAAGTTTTGAATTATTGTAAAGTAGGAAATAAAACAACTAAAATAGCGGTGTATAATACGCCGTGGGTCAGCTCGCAATAGTTAACGCACAAAAATAAAAATGTATTGGATGTAACGTGCAAAGAGACGTCAAGAGCTTACTTGGTCAGACAGTTTCTTGCACACTCCGTCCTTGTCTTCTCCACCCAGCCGTTACCCAGACGCTCCGGCCCACATCCGGCAACAAGTTTCTTGTGAAATGAGTTAACTGTCATATTCGCCGTTACTGACCAGAGCGACGTCACAACTGTTGGTATTCCGGGAACAAAAATTATAAAATTTATGTTCATTCAAACGTAATGCTAACCCGTCATTATTCAACCTTATAGCTTTAGTAAAAGGTTGAAGTCTTAATCAGGAAAAATGCTAAAGCTACGCGTATTCTAAAGTACTTGAGATTAAAAAAAATAACATCTAAACCTAAAACTTCAACTGATTCAGTTGTTCGTATGTGTATATTGGATTTATTTTCAAAATGAACACACAGTCTTATTTCAGCATTACTACAAATTCAAATTTCTAACGCTAGCTATAAGAATTTCAGCCAACAAATGTTGAAATTGAGGCGTGTGTAATTTATCTTGGGAATAATGTGAGCTAAGTTTGGCCTCATGCTTTTTGAAAAATAAGTGTCCATACAAAATGTTTCACCATAAAAAACAAGTTTCCATTCGTGTATTTAGTTAACAAAAAATAATTTAAAAAATGACACCATAAAGGAAAAAAAACCTATTGTAATACCTATTACCTGTAATGAATATAAAGAGTATTTGTTTCATATTGCAATCAAGTGTTAATCTGTCATTAAAATCCCTTGAAGTAGTTAATCCCAGTAGCTAGACTATGGTTTTATATAGATTGTAAGTAACCAAGACACAATATAAATCTTTTCAACAAAAGAATGATTATGGATTAGAAAAAAAAATTGTTAACTAAAGTACAACATCGATCCAGAAAGCGAAACAAATCTTGGCAAAGCGGCCCCTAGGCCATAACCTAGGTTGAACATACATACATTAGGACTAGATTCCATGTAAAGATCAAAGACATGTCAATGATATGTAACTTTGTGTCTGCTGGTATTAGGACTAGATACCCTTGTATAGATCAATGATGTTTAAATGTTACAGAACTTTGTGTCTACTTGTATTAGGACCAGATACCCTTGTACAGATCAATGGTGTGTAAATGTTACGGGACTTTGTGTCTACATGCAACTGTTGACATGTCCAAATAACCTGATATAAAATTGCTGCATTGATTGGGTAATCAAGAAGAAAGCTAGGTCTGTTTTAAATCACCTGACCGGATGTATTTACTCAGTACGTAAGTGCGATTACAATGTGTGGTAATGTCAACACTGAAACCTCCATATGTTCTAATGTCAACACTGATACATACAAACCTCCTATAGCTTTCAGTATCCACCTTGCTCGTAATTCTGCCCACTGATTCTTTGTTTTTTGCCTCATATATTTTTTTTTTAAAAGTGTGTAAGGCTTTTTTTCTTTTCTGCCTAATATGCTGTTTACTATTTTCAGCCTCGCTGTGTGAGAGTTGATACTTGTTAAAGAGGATTAAATAATTGTGAAGACTGTTCCATGTTTGAAATAACGCAAACCTTACTAGGTCTGATTCTCGTACTTTGCACCAACAAGAAAAAAACATGATTTCTGTCACTTCATGTAGTTTCACAGAAATGCGTTGTTCGGATATTGATTATTGTAATACAATAGTTTGATCGGTTTTGTATACTTTGCCCAGGAGAAAAAAAGTGTAAGTATGTGTGTGAGGATGGGGGTGGAGGAGTGGTGGGGAAAAAACCCGTATTCGATCCTAATTTTTTCTTCTTATTACCTCCCTTAGTGCCTGGAACCCGTAAGCTAAAACCTCTCTCACTTAGGCTGTACGGTGACCACTGGTCACATATCTGTTTCCCGATAGGTTCTGTCTAAGGGCTGCTGTGATATTTTTCACAACTACTACAAAATGATTTTAACATAAAAATTCGAAAATACATTAGTTATGTCCCTTACGGCTATAGGACATTACCCCCCTGGAAATTCCCCCCCCCCCCGGACATTTCCCCCCCGTAATTACCCACCTGTCAATTACCCCCCCCCCCCCCGGGGAATTACCCCCCCCCCCCCCTCTCAAGTTAGAATCCTAACTCTAACTAGAATTCTATACCTTTATACTACTTTAATCCAAACCTTAAGAAAAAGACCAAAACCTAAGCATCAACCTTAGCCTAAAACTTCACACAAAACCAAAACCAACGCTAGACACAACCCTAACCCTAACCCTAACCCTAACCCTAACCCTAACCCTAACCCTAACCCTAACCCTAACCCTAACCCTAACCCTAACCCTAGCCCTAAACCTAACCCTAACCCTAACCCTAACCCTAACCCTAACCCTAACCCTAACCCTAGCCCTAACCCTAACCCTAACCCTAACCCTAACCCTAACCCTAACCCTAACCCTAACCCTAACCCTAACCCTAACCCTAACCCTAGCCCTAGCCCTAGCCCTAAACCTAACCCTAACCCTAACCCTAACCCTAACCCTAACCCTAACCCTAACCCTAACCCTAACCCTAGCCCTAAACCTAACCCTAACCCTAACCCTAACCCTAACCCTAACCCTAGCCCTAACCCTAACCCTAACCCTAACCCTAACCCTAACCCTAACCCTAGCCCTAAACCTAACCCTAACCCTAACCCTAACCC